AGTGTGAAAACCACTGTCTTTTAAGCTACTTTACTTTGGGTTTTTTCCGACACCTGAAATCAAAGGGCTGTGACTGATACAGAAACTCACTCCAAGAGTGGGGTGTGTGAAATGACAGACACCAAAGTATGGAGGTGGCTGAGTCGCAAAAAGTGGTGCCAGGAATAGGGCACATGAAGAGGCAGACACCAGAAGGCGGCAGTGCTGAGCCAAGGTGGGCTACATGAGCAGCACCCAGCTGGATTAAGAGAGACCTTTTCTACCTGCTCAGGGCAAACCGAGGCTCTGGGGCCAGACAATCACGTGAACCTCTCAATCACTGAAGAAGCCATACTCACGCTAAAGTTAGTGTGAGGAAAAGTAGGTCACCACCAAATCCAGTGGGAAACAGCACTGAGAGAAGGGAGGAAGAGAAAACTGGGGGAAGCCTGATCCCCAGCCCCTCCTCAACACGCCCCACTGTGCACCCTCCTAGCCAAACAGGACACAAGTTCCCCCTTATAAAGTGCCATCCTCGAGAAGACAGCCCCAGGCCAGGGGACAGACTGCCTGCCTCGAGGGCCACCAAGAGCCCCAGACAGAAGAACCTGAGAACTCCTGAGAGCTAGGTGAACCAGAGAGCCAAGGGAAGGGTAGAGCTCTGAGGCCTATTTCTAAGAGACAGAAACTGCACAAGCAAGGAACAAATTCAAGAAACCTGACCACCCAGTCCCTTGGGGCTAAGTGGAAGGTTTCACTGTAGTTACTCTATTGTCCCTCTACCACCATATACTGAGTATGCAGGGCATGTTGACATTCATTACGTAGCCACAAGTTGCTGGAACACAAGCAGCCAGATCAAGCCTATCCAGTAATAGTAATACCACCTGCACAAAGCTTACTATATCCAGCTTTTCACGTATGAACTCTTTTTTTTTTTTTTTTTTTGCGGTATGCGGGCCTCTCACTGTTGGCCTCTCCCGTTGCGGAGCCCAGGCTCCGGACACGCAGGCTCAGCGGAGAGGGCTCATGGGCCCAGCCGCTCCACGGCATGTGGGATCTTCCCGGACCGGGGCACGAACCCGTGTCCCCTGCATCGGCAGGCGGGCTCTCAACCACTGCGCCACCAGGGAAGCCCTGAACTCATTTTTAATCCTCATAGCAACCCTATGTGGTAGGTACAATTCTTACCCATTTTACACATGAGAAAACTCAAGCCCAAAGAGGTTAAGAGACTAGCCTAAAATCCCAGAACTAATAAGCCAGGAGAAATGACATTTACTTGGAGCCCTTGGATATAGTAACTGGACACAGGTCTGTACTGGGGAGGCATGAGTGCTTCACCAGAAGGCACTTTATTTACAATAGAGACAGTATGTAAATTATTCTCACGAGAGGTAAGCTGCAACAGAGCAGAGTAAAGTTAGTTCAGACACTGTTTTAGTTAAGCAGCATATCTTCCTTCAGGTAACCCTCCCTCCCCCAACTCCAAGTGATCCTGAAGGAGCAGCCAATCACAGTGCCCTATAGGAATGACCAGGTGATCCAAGCTGGCCCAACCAGAGAACGTGGTGGTTAATTTCAGCCTGAGCACGTGAACCAAAACAGGGCCTTTTCAGGAACTGGTAAATGGATACTATAGGGGGGAAAGTTCTTGGTGCTAAGCTCAAAATATGAGAGCCAGGGGCAACTCAGGCACAGACTGGATCAACTCATTTAATCCTCAGGACAACCCTACTTTTATCATCTTGATTTCACAGATAAGGAAACTGATGCCCACAGGGGCATCAGTTAGCAAGGTCACACAGTTAACAAGTGCTGTAGCCAGGGTCTGAACTACTCAGGCAGTTTGACCACAGAATCGGCAGCCTTAACCACTAATGAACGCTAAGCCACAACGGGAAGTGGCAGAGAGGAAAGTCAAGAGTCTCAAAGGAGCTTGGTGACTTTGTGAAGGAGGAAGGAAGAGGCTGTGTGTAATTGGGAGGAAGACACTCACCATACAGGCCTGAGCCAGGCTCATGGCCAGACGGAACCGGGCAGACATAGCAAGAGGCAGCAGGGGGCTAAGGCCGGAGCCCACAGCAGGGTTGATCACACGCAGGCAACGGACCACAGCTTCTACAACCAGCTCAGTGGTGAAGGCTCGCAGGGTCTGCACATCTGGAGGAACTGCCCTGAAGAAGAAGGAGGCAGGCTCGATGGGGGGTGGGGGGAAGCAGTCAGGAAACAGGGATGAGGCTGGGCCGTGCTGCCTTCTGGAAGCCCTAGTACTGGGATGGGGTGGGGAGGGTGGCCACAGTTCAGACAGGTCCTGGGTGTTGCTGGCTGACTTCCATTTGGAAAACTGAGAATGGGGGGAGTCCTCAGGTCCTAAGATCTTGGTGTAGAAAGGTGGATGGAAGGGATCCGAGTTCAAAAAATCTCAAATTTCCCTATGCCTAAAAGCCCCAAATTTCTGGGGTCTGGGAAGGCCTAGGAGCCCAGGTGGAATAGTCTCTGGGTTTCTGCATCCCCAGATATCATGTTTGCTGCATGTCAGAGGCCCCTAGATACTGACCTGCTAGGATTTTGAGACTAGATGTTGGGAGGCTGGAGTTTTCAGGAGTTCCAAATGTCAGAGTCCCTGGGTATCAGGACCACCCAGTCTCAAGCAATCCAGAAATCAAGCTCCCTAGAGGTTGTCATCTTGGGCTTTTAGGACCCTCGAATGCAGGAGTCCTTGTGTGTCGGGGTCACCAAGCATTAAGGCCACCAGATTTTAGAGTCCTGGGGTTTTAAAAGGCTCAGGTATTGGGAAACCAGGTTTGAAGGTTCCCAAGTATCCAGTCCCAGGGGATTTTGGAGTCCCTGAGTACCAGGATCCCAGAGTTTTAAGTTCCCTGGTTCACAGAATAAAGGTGGCTTAGAATCTCCAGATGTCAGAGTCCCAGGGTATGATGTCAAGATCCACAGATTTCAGGATCCCGGGTCTTGAGGTTCCAAGGTTTTAAGGTCTCGAGGTGTCTAGGTCCTGGAGTTTGGGGTTTACCAAGTGTAGAGGTCAAAGGGTATGGGAGGCCCCGTGTGTGTGTGTGCGTGCGTGTGTGTGTGTGTAAGGAGGAGGGAGGGTCTTAGGGTCCTGAAGTTGCAGCCCTAGATGTCAAGGTCCGGAGTTTTGGAGTCCCGGATGTGGGCATTCCGGGGTGGGCGGGGGCTGTGTCCTTACGTGCCGGCCTGTCGCAGGGAATGGATGAGGATTCGGTCCGCCTCCTCCATGGTAGAGCCGTGTTGGAGTCCGAGGTTGGGTCCAGGGCCGGGTCCGAGCAAGAGAGGCGCAGCTGTGGAAAGCCCGCTCCCTGCTCGCGGTCCAAGGAGTGTCACGGGTTGCGCGAGGAGAGCCGGGAAGTGTAGTTCCGAGACCTAGTTCGGCGCAAGCCGGATGCCTGTCGTTCTGGTGTGAATGGGCGCGCGCAGGCTTGAGCGTGCAATGGCTGCTGGGAGTTGTAGGTTTGGTTTTGGTTGTTTTCTCTTTCCTGCAGCCCAGTGCGCTCTTCCAAGTGAGCAAAGGATTATACTGCACGCGCAAGTGTGTGTGTGTGTGTGTGTGTGTGTGTGTGTGTGTGTGTGTCAGGAAGGAAGGGGGAAGGAGCGGGACGGAGAGAGGCTTCTATACTCATTCATTTAAGGCAGCATTCATCTTCTAGATTGTAAAAGTGTACAAGTTAAGGCAGGGGCTTTCGCAAAAGCGACTAGGTTTGAGTCTCAGCTCTGCAACTTGCTAAATGTGCAACTGTGGGCAGGTTACATAGCTTCCCTGTGTCTTAGTTTCCTCATCTGTAAAATGGAACTGTTAATGTACCTGCTTCCTAGGATTAAACAGAATTAACTCACGTAAAGCAGCGTTGAAATGTGTGCCTGATACATAATACAGTAAAAAACAAAAACAAACAAAAACCACTATGTAAGTTACAGTCACTAGTATTCATGCATTCAATAAATGCTTTATTTTAATTATATATATATATATATATATATATACACTCCAGAGAATAATTACATAGTAAACATCCATATAACCACCATTCATGAAAAAGACCACCCTGCCTCCACTGCTCAGTAGTGCCACGTTTGTCATAAATCACGTGTACCTATATGTGGGACTCAGTTTCTGAACTCTATTCTGTTCGTAATTTCTCTTGCTTTATAACAAGCTTTGATACCTGATATAGCAAGTCCTCCCATCTTGTTATTTTTCAAAGGAGTTTGGCTTTTCTAGATCTTTTGTATATCAATATACATTTTAGAATCAGTTTGTCAAATTTCAAGGAAAAATCTCTTGAGATTATTTTAAATTTATTTATTTATTTTTGGCTGTGTTGGGTCTTTGTTGCTGCGCGTGGTCTTTGTTGCGGCAAGCGGGGGCTACTCTTTGTTGCGGTGCGCCGGCTTCTCACTGCAGTGGCTTCTCCTGTTGCGGAACACGGGCTCTAGGCGCGTGGGCTTCAGTAGCTGTGGCACACGAGCTTAGTTGCTCCGCAGCATGTGGACTCTTCCCGGACCAGGGCTCGTGTCCCCCGCATTGGCGGGCGGATTCTTAACCACTGCACCACCAGGGAAATCCCTTCTGAGATTTGTGTTTGGGACTGCATTGAATCTCTGGGTCACTCTGGGAAGAACTGACATCTTCACAATATTGACTATTTCTATTAGTAAATTTAATGTATCTCTCCATTTATTTGGGTCCCCTTTAATCACTTGAAAATATTTGATAATTTTTTTTCCATGGAGATCTTGCACATATGTTATGTTAGGTCTATTCCTACATACTTCGAATTTCAGATACTGTTGGGAAACAATTATCATTTTTCTTATTTTAGTTTCTGACTCTGGTGCTAGTATATATTTTGTAAAAATATTTTTTTTTAAATCAGTGCCTTTTCTGTTGCCAGACTCTGGCCCACAAGTGTCCCATCTTCACCCCTCCTCACCTTCCCATCCGACCCTGTTATGGCCCCGCCCTGTGACCTTAATCCCTCCAAAGCTGGGGGAAGAGAGGGGGGCTGTGTGCAGATGGCTCTTCAACCTGGAAAGGAGGATGGCGGCATCTGAAGGCGGGAAAGGTGAGAGCAGGCTTCCACCCCTGCAGACCCTTGGAGCAAGCCTGGGCTCTGCTCCATCCTCAGCCCCTCTGACCCACCCACTGCCCACCAGGACCCCACCCCTGGAGAGCCTTTAGGGGACCAGAATCACATCATCCTGTTCCCATCCCAGCCAGCCCCAAACACAGCCTTAGATCCCAACTGAAACCCAACCGAATCCTGGCCCTGATCTCTATCCTAGCGCCCACCCCAACTTCAACTCCAGTGCCAGCCCCAAGCTTAATCCTAACACAAACTTTACCAACCAGAGGGCAAACCCCCATTAGAGTCCAAACCCCAACATGGATACAGACCTTACTATGAGCTCTAAAGTTACCGAAGCTCAACCCCAACCCCTGGATATAAGCATTGTTAGTGAGTGGGTCTCTGACTTTCCAGAAAGAGTGCAGACCCATTTTTAAGTACGAGAGAGAGAGAGAGAGAGAGAGGAGAGAGAGAGAGAGAGAGAATACACACTTGATGGTGGTAGTAAGTTGTGAAGTCTTAGAGTCAGAGACTGCCTGGATTTGGCTCTCAATTCAGCTACTTCATCAAATCACTTAACTTCTCTTTTTGCATCAATTTCTCCGCCTGCAAAATGGGGATAATACTATGTGCCAGACATTCTTCTGAATGCTGAACTCATTTAATCCTCACAGCAACCCTATATTGTAGGTACTCTTACTGTCATCTCATTATACAGATAAGGAAATTGAGGCTCAGAGAGGTTACATAATTTGCTCAAGGCAACACACAGCTCCCAAGTGGTAGAGTCAGGATTTAAACTCAGATAGCTTGTTTCCTCCAAAGCTGGGTATCTTAACCAGGCCAACCCACTGCCCCTTGGAGACTGAAACAAGGCCATGGGACTTGGGAATGGCTTTAGCTGAAAACCCCAGTGCAAAACTCAGATCCCACCCAAACTCAAGTTAAACCCTAACCTTGATCCTAATTCAAATTCCAACTCATTCAAATATCCAGTCCTAACCCTAAATCATATCTCAAGAACACTTTACTCCCACCGGTATTTAAACCCAACCCAAAATCTACCACTCAAATTTAATCCTAAACTTGCTTCCAGCTATAAACTTAATCCTACCCCATGTCAATTTAAGCTCTACTCCCCAAATCTAACACCAAACCCTACTTCAATTAGAAACATAATCTCACCCTCACTCCCCTATAAACTCTCACTCTATCGTCAATCAATCAACTCCAATCCCAACTCTTATCCCCCAATCTTTAACTCAGGTACCCTCAACTCTCCCTAATTTTACATGCTCTTCTCTCCTTCCCTCAGACAGAGGGATAGGATCATGTAGGAGGCAGCCATGATTGCCCCAATACCCTGCCCCCCCCACTCGGTCTCTCCACACAGACACCACCCCAGAGCCCAGTCCAGCCAACGGGACAGGCCCTGGGCCCGAATGGGGGCTGTGCCCTGGGCCCCCAGCATCAGGTGGCGAAATCGGCGGGGCATCCAGCCTGGGGACCCCTAAGCGAAGAACTCAGCACAGTAAGCACAAGACAGTGGCAGTGGCCAGTGCCCAGCGCTCACCCCGGGCACTCTTCTGCCTCACCCTGGCAAACCCCCTGCGGCGGTCCTGCATCAGCATCGTGGAATGGAAGCATCCTGGAAGGCCAGGGGCAGGGCTCAGGGGTGAAGGTCACCAGGGTACCAAGAGTCAAGGATTAAGCCAGGGCCGGAATGGAAGAGGGCTGAGGTCACCAGGGATCAAGGACTAAGAACTGGATTCAAGGGGGAGTTGAGAAAGGTGAAGGTCACCGGGGGGATCAAGCATCAAAGACTAAATCTCAGCAAGAGTTGAGGATGGATAAGGTTTCCAGGGGGGTCAGAGTCAAGGCCTTGGTCAGGGCAGGGGCTGGGAATGTCAGAGCTGGTCACTTTAGGGTCAAGGGTCAGCATTGGGTGGGGAGGGCCCCAAGGGAATGTGGGGCTCTGAGACCACTCTGCCTGGGTCCTTAACTGTGTCCACCTGAGGCCCTTCGACATCCTCATCCTGCTGACCATCTTTGCCAACTGCGTGGCCCTTGGGGTCTACATCCCCTTCCCAGAGGATGACTCCAACACTGCCAACCACAACCTGGTGAGGCTAGCCCCGCCCCGCCCCACCTCCAGCTAGATACAGCCCCAGTAGAGCCACACCTCAAGCCATCCAGCCAGGCCCCTCCCCTCTCTGACCCAGATGACCCTCTCCTGCCCAGCCCCACCCTCGGTCCCCGCTACGCTCCTCTTCCCCTACCCCCTGTCAAACAAACCCCGCTCCCAAATAACTTCCCGATCTCCCGCCCCCCACCCCCGGCCCCGCCCCCAGGAGCAGGTGGAGTACGTATTCTTGGTGATTTTCACTGTGGAGACCATGCTCAAGATCGTGGCCTACGGGCTGGTGCTCCACCCCAGCGCCTACATCCGCAATGGCTGGAACCTGCTCGACTTCATCATCGTCGTGGTCGGGTGCGCCTCTGCAAGGGATACCCCCAACCCTAGCTCAACTTCCCACCGCAGGCCCGCTAAATTCGGGGCTCGGGGAAGCGACTGCTTCAGACTGCCTCCATTCGGCAGCCAGAATCAGGAATATGCATTTCCAGTTACAGGGACTTGTACTTTTCCGAGGAGAAGGGAGGGGGGAAGGGGGGGGTCCGAACGCCTGACCCCCGCCTCCTTGTCCTGTGCTCCCCCATCAGGCTGTTCAGCGTGCTGCTGGAGCAGGGGCCCGGACGCCCGGGGGACGCCCCGCATACCGGAGGGAAGCCGGGTGGCTTCGATGTGAAGGCGTTGCGGGCGTTTCGGGTGCTGAGGCCACTGAGGCTGGTGTCCGGGGTCCCGAGTGAGTGGCTCGTCCCCCGGACTTGGAGGTAGCGGAGGGGAGAGCGGGAGGGGGGGGCTGAGCTGCCCCCGCCCCTACGTTGCCCACCCCTCGCTCCCCACAGGCCTGCACATAGTGCTCAATTCCATCATGAAGGCGCTGGTGCCGCTGCTGCATATCGCACTTCTCGTGCTCTTTGTCATCATCATTTACGCCATCATCGGACTCGAGCTGTTCCTCGGACGCATGCACAAAACGTGCTACTTCCTGGGATCAGGTCAGCAAGCCCACCCCACCCCACCCCCGGGACAGGATACGCCCCCTCCATTGGCTCCTAAGCCCCACCCTGTTCTCAAGGGGACACACTCAAATTCACAACACTCTGCCCCCAAGTTCAGGCTCCGCCCCCAGATAAACAAGTCTTACCCCGCCCCTCCCATATTCAAGACTCCGCCCTCAATTCCAGACTACAACCGCCCCCCTAGCTAATTGCTCCGCCCTATCACAAGTTTCCACTCACAGGTTAAGGCCCTATCCCACACTGAAGACTCCATTCTCCAGAACTGGTCCCAAATAGTCAGGCCTTTTTCATCCACACCCAAACCCGTCTTGGCCCCACCCTTCTTTCAAGAGACCCTCCCATATTCACAAGACTGCTCCTAGGCTCACGCCTCACTGTTATTCACAAGATTCTGCCCCAAGGTTTACAGTCCCACTCCTCAGATCCCTGTGGTTGGGCTTCACAGCTTCCCAGGGGTTCAGAATTCTGACCCAACACAGTCAGAGGCTAAGGGTTGTCTTTGATTTAGAAAAATCTAGAACCCTGAGGTGAGCTTCCCAGGTAGGCAGGCCTCCAAGGTGGCAACGACTGTGGGTGGGCGTGCTTCAGGTTCCAGAGCTCCAGTCTTCCCACAGACGTAGAGGCGGAGGAGGACCCATCGCCCTGTGCGTCATCGGGATTGGGGCGTGCTTGTACGCTAAACCAGACCGAGTGCCGCGGACGCTGGGCAGGTCCCAACGGAGGCATCACCAACTTCGACAATTTCTTCTTCGCCATGCTGACAGTCTTCCAGTGCATCACCATGGAAGGCTGGACTGACGTGCTCTACTGGGTGAGGTGGACGGCAGGCACACAGTGCAGAAGCTGCACCTGCCTTTCCTCACCGAGCTTGGGCGGGAGTGTCCGCCTACCCTGAGGGATGCATGCCCCTTCTCTCTGCCTAGATGCAGGATGCCATGGGGTATGAGCTGCCCTGGGTGTATTTCGTGAGTCTTGTCATCTTTGGATCCTTCTTCATCCTCAACCTTGTACTTGGTGTCCTGAGTGGGTGAGGAACCTAGACACCTACCCGGGCCTTCCTTCCTGCCCCTCAGCCCCTGTCCCTTTACTTTGTTCCTGGAAAACTGCTAGGCATCCTTCAAAACCCATTTAAACTACCCCTTCATTCAGTCAATCAACATTGAGCATCTACTGTGTGTGAGGCACTGTTTCAGGAATGGAACACGAGACAAAAATCTCTGCCTTCCTGGATATTACATTCTGGTGGGGAGAGACAGACAAGAGCAACATACACAATAAATGTGTGTGTACATACATACACACACATATGTGTAGTGTCTTATATGGAATATGTGCTATGGAAAGAAAGGAAGAGTTAAGATAGGAATGCCAAGATCGTGTAATTACAAATGAGGACAATCAGGACAGGCCTCCTTGAGATGGTGTTATCTGAGTAAAAGTGTGAAAGAGATTGAGCCATGTGGGTATCTGAGGAAAGAGTGTTCCAAGCAAAGGGAACAGCCAGTGCAAAGGCTCCAAAGCTAAAATGTGCTTAGCATATTCAAAGAACAGCAAGGAGGTCAGTGTGACTGGGAGGTGACGGCAAGGGGGCCAGGGTTGTTCCCCCACCTAACCCTCTATTCTCCTCCCTCAGAGAGTTCTCCAAGGAGAGGGAGAAGGCAAAAGCGCGAGGGGACTTCCAGAAGCTTCGAGAGAAGCAGCAGCTGGAGGAGGACCTGCGGGGCTACCTGGACTGGATCACACAGGCGGAGGAGCTGGACATGGAGGACCCCTCAGCTGATGGCAACTTTGGTTCTGTGGCTCAAGAGGGCCAGGCCAGCCACCGTAGGCAATCCCAACCTGGCCCATTCCCTGCTCCACGCATCCTCAGATGTGGGCTGCCCTCCTGAGATCCAGCCCCAGCCCGCAGCAACTCTAGGCCCCTGGGTCTTCCCTGGAGGTCCAGTGGTTAAGACTCCGTGCTTCCACTGCAGGGAGCACGGGTTCAATCCCTGGTCGGGGAACTAAGATCCCACATGCCATGCTGCGCGGCCAAAAAAAACCAAAACCAAAACCAAAACCAAAAAAAATCTCTAGGCCCAGCCTCCGGTTAGGACACGGAAGCCAGACTCAGATACCCTTCCCAGACTGCACCCAGAACAAAGACTCCAAATAACACACACACACACACACACACACACACACACACACGCACGCACGCACGCACACGCGCGCGCGGGGCCCTAACCCCGCCCCAGGCCGTGCTCCATCACTGTCCTCCATGTCTCCACAGGGCCGCAACTGGCAGAGCTGACCAATAGGAGACGAGGACGTCTGCACTGGTTCAGTCACTCCACCCACTCCACACACTCCACCAGCAGCCACGGTGGGGGTCCAGCAAGGTTGACAAGGGGGAGGGATGGATAGGCAGAGGAGAAAGCCAAAGGCAGAACCCTGGGATCTTCATGTGCCGACCTCTTCTTCCTCCCTGCCCACAGCCAGCCTCCCAGCCAGTGACACCTGTTCGATGGCAGAGACCCCAGGCGATGAGGAAGAGGAAGAGGGGGCTCTGGCCAGCTGTACACGCTGCCTGTGAGGGCCCCCAGCCCTTGACCCCTGACCCAGCCAGAACCCAGAACAGACCCTGACCCCAATCCTTACTTTAGCCTCCAACCTTGACCTCAGCCCCTGACCTCCAACCCTCGCTGCTGACTGCCGCTCAGTCCCTGACGATGCCTACCTCCCATCCCCCTCTTTTCCAGAAACAAGATCATGAGAACCAGTGTCTGGTGAGTTGGAAAAGTTGTGTGACTGCTGGACCCCATGATTTTGTGAGCCCCACCTCCAAGCCCTCCAAGCCCCCCATGACCGCCGGGCTCCCCCACCTGAGCCCCCCAGGGCAGGCTTAGGTAGGTGATCTCAGCCGGTGGGTTCCCCATCCCCACAGCCGCTGCCTCCGCCGAGCCAACCGGGGCCTTCGGGCGCGCTGCCGGCGGGCTGTGAAGTCCAATGCCTGCTACTGGGCCGTGCTGCTGCTCGTCTTCCTCAACACGCTGACCATCGCCTCGGAGCACCACGGGCAACCCATCTGGCTCACCCAGATCCAGGGTGCACCCCCCAGCCTGCCAGCCCTCTCCCCAAGCCCCCAATTCCTTCCACCCCAGAAGCTCCAATCCAGGATCTCTCGGGTGCCCCACACCCCCAGATACTGCCCCCCTACCCAAGTAAATGCAGAAACTTGAGCCTGTTCCATCCTACCTTGTAGCTTACACTTGTATAGCACTTGCTGTGTGTGTCAAGCTCTGTTCTCAGCACTTCACCTGTACTCACTCAATTTCTCTTCACTGCAACTTTAGGTGAATTAAGTACTAAGGTGCAGTAAGTGACTAATCCCAGGACTCAGCTAGTGAGTGGCAAACCCAAGCAGCCTGGCTCCAAAGTCCAGGCTCTTAACACCACACTGTCTGGACAAGTTAAGCCCTCTGTGCCTCAATTTCCCCATCTACAAAATGGGAATAGTAGTAGTATCCACTTCAGGGGGTGGCGGGGAGGATTAAATGAGTTAAAGTGAAAAATGCTTAGAACATTGCCTGGCCCACATAAAGCTAACACTTTACAAGTGTTAGCTCTTACTATTATTCATCTTAGTCTCAGCCCCCAACCTGAATACTGAGTACACTTCTAATCCCAACCCTCAAACCAGCCCCAGTCCCAACTAAACCCCAGATTCTAACTCTACCCTTGAACTGGAGTTTTTCTGTATTCATAGAGGCTGACCGAGGCCCACACCCCAGCTCTGCCCCTCACCCCAGCTCCAAGCCCCTCAAAACCTTGCCCACTGTGACCTACAAACTCACCCGATCCCTAGTCCTAACCACACCACCGGCCTGTGCCTGGACGGATACCAACTACCACAGATCGCCCCATGGCCCCTACCTCCCCACATTTCACCACAAAAACTGACTAGCCCAGTCACCCCTGCCCCTCTCCCCACAGAGTATGCCAACAAAGTGTTGCTCTGTCTGTTCACGGTGGAGATGCTTCTCAAGTTATATGGTCTGGGGCCCTCTGTCTACGTCTCCTCCTTCTTCAACCGCTTTGACTGCTTCGTGGTCTGTGGGGGCATCCTGGAGACCACCCTGGTGGAGGTGGGCGCCATGCAGCCCCTGGGCATCTCGGTGCTCCGCTGTGTGCGTCTCCTCAGGATTTTTAAGGTCACCAGGTGTGTGTGTGTGTGTGTGTGTGTGTGTGTGTGTCGGGGGAGAGGACGGGGGCCCCAAACACAGCCCCAACAGCCACCACCCCAGCTCCAATGATGACTATATCCTCATCACCATTCATTTATCAAATATCCATTGAGTGCCTACTGCATACAAGGCGCCCTTCCAGGCCCTAGGGAAACACCAGGAATCAAAGCAGACACAAGTTCCTGCCTTCCTGGAGATTAAAGTCCGCTGGGGAGGGTGTCTACTCCATTTCCATCCCCTTCCTCAGCCTCAACTTCAGCTAGAACATTATTCCCAACCCCATCTCCAAACTCAACTCCATACTCATCCCCAACCCAAACCCCATCCCCCACCCCCAACCATAACACCATCTCTAACCCCAACCACCAACCACTCATCATCCACAAGCTCAATTACAGCCCCATAACCCAAGCCCAAGCCCAAGCCCACCTCCAGCCTCATTCCTAGCTCCCAGCCTCATCCCTATCTCTAGCCACAACCCCCACATCCCAAACTCATAACCATCAGCCTATCTCCAAGCTCAAACCCATCCCCAGTCCCAGCCCCAATCTCATCCCCATCCATCCTCTCCTCTATCCCAACCCTCAGCCACAGACTTATCCCCGATTCAGTCGTCTACAGCTCCAAATATTCCCCAACCCCATCCCCAGCTACAATCCCTAACCCCAGGCCCAACCTGAAACCCAATTTTAGCTTCACCAACTTCCATATACCCTCCATACTAACCTCATCTCCCCTAATGCCAACACCAACCCCGAATACAACCCTCCCCTTACTTCTTATTCTCACCTCACCCCAACTCCAAAATCACTTCCAACAATGACACAAAAGCTCATCTTAACCCAGTCCGCCCCAGTGCATCCCAAGCTGGAGCCCTGCCACGGCTCCTGACTCACCACTGGACATGTCAACCCTTCCCCCTCCATCTCTGCTGCAGGCACTGGGCATCTCTGAGCAATTTAGTGGCGTCCCTGCTCAATTCAATGAAATCCATTGCATCCTTGCTGCTTCTCCTCTTCCTCTTTATCATCATCTTCTCCCTGCTTGGCATGCAGCTGTTTGGGGGCAAGTTCAACTTTGACCAGACACACACCAAGCGAAGCACCTTTGACACCTTCCCCCAGGCCCTCCTCACTGTCTTTCAGGTGACACCTGGAGATTATGGGATGGGTGGGCAAGGTGGGGGGACCCAAGGTTGGGGAAAGGGTCCCAAGAGTTTCATGGTGACCTCCCACCCCCAGATCCTGACAGGTGAGGACTGGAATGTGGTCATGTATGATGGTATCATGGCCTATGGCGGCCCCTTCTTCCCAGGGATGCTGGTATGCGTGTACTTCATCATCCTCTTCATCTGCGGCAACTGTATCCTCAGAGCCTTGGGAGGCTGGATCGTGGCAGGGCTGGGGAAGGATAATGGGGACATGGGCACTCCATAGGCAGGCTGCTTCTCCATCCTTGTTGCCTGAGCTCACCCCAGACATCCTGTTGAACGTTTTTCTTGCCATTGCTGTGGACAACCTGGCCAGTGGAGATGCAGGCACTGACAAGGACAAGGACAGGTGAGGTCTGGCTCTGCCTCCAAGACAGTCTCTCCCTAGGATCCCTGACTAGGACCCTCCCACACACATCCCACACCACCAGAGATGCCTTGGTCACTCTGGCAATCCCCATCTGCAGATCCAACCTTCCAGTCCTCATTCACTGAACATGCATTTATTGAGCACCTACTTTTTGCCAGGCTCTGTTCTAGATGCTAAAGAGACAGCAGGGGTCAAAAAAGACAGAGTCCTTGCTTTCATGGAGCTGACATTCTAGTTGGGGAAGGCAAGCAAAACAAACAAATTAATATATAATAATATAATTTAATTTAATATATGTTAATAATATGTAATGAAGAAAAAGAAAGCAGAGTAAGAGAACAGAGAGAAATGGAGACTGCTATTTTGGTTAGGGTAATCAAGGAAGGCCTCTATGAGAAGGTGACAGCTAAAGAGAGGCCTGAATGAAGTGGGGGAATGAGCCATGCAAATATCTGGGGAAAGAGGGTTCAAGGCAAGGGGACAGCAAGTGCAAAGGTCTTGAGGTGGTAATATTCTTAGCACATTCAAAAAACACCATGGAGGGAATTCCCTGGCAGTCTAGTGTTTAGGACTCGGCTCTTTCACTGCTTTCACCCGGGGCCCCGGGTTCGATACCTCGTCTGGGAACAAGAAGAGTGGTAGGAGGTGAGCTCAAATGGGGGGAATAGAGAAGCCAGATGAAGGGCATTCTGGGCCATGGTGAGAACTTTGGGCTTTGCTCTGAGTGGTGGGGAGCCATGGGAGGGGTGTGAGCAGAGGAGGAATGTATCAGACGTAGAATTTAACAGCATCCCTCCTGCTGCTGTGAGAATAGACTAAGGGGATGAGGGAGGAAGCAGGGAGGTTGTATGGGACCTGAGAAAGATCTGTTCTGATTGCAGTGACCCCCTCCCTTGGCCTTGCCTATCTGCTTCGATCCTTAACAGTCACCTCCTCCCCAATTTCCTCACACAGGGAGAAGAACACTGAGGAAACTCCACAGGAGAATGGAGCACTGGTGAGTTAGAGGCCTGGGCACTGTCTACACCTCCCACTACCACCAATATCTGTCTATGCGTGTGTGTCTTTATCCCGCATCCTCTGCCTATTCACTCCTTCTTTATTGTGTCCCTCCCATGCCTCCCCTGTGTCCATCCCCCCATCATGGATGTCAACCCCATCACCAATGACCCCCATCTTCCTGTCCCCAGGTGCCTGGTGGGGAGAATGAGGAAGAGGAAGGTGCAAAAAATGAAGGAGCAGGCAAGTGGGCAAGGCCAGGTGGAAGAGGTATGGGACCTTGGGGACAGCACCCAGGCGGAGCTCGTGACCCCTGAGACCCTCCTCTCTGGAGAGCAGCCTTCTCCGACATCATCTTAAAAATAATGGGCTTGGTGTGTGGCCAGGAACATTTGAGACGCTGAGATTACAGAAGAGAAACACACTTTGTTTTACTGCAGAACTTCTCAGAGCCTTCATTATAAAATAGTATGTATATGACTGAAGATGGCAGTGTGCGTTCAACACACATTTACTGAGCCCCTCCTGTGTCCCATGCACTGTTCTAAGTGCTGAGGACACAACAGTGAACAAAACAGTCTGAAATCCCTTCTCTGAGGAGCTGACATTCTAGCAGGGAGATGAGAATTGACCACATGGCAAGCACTGTTCTAGGTGCTTTACATACATTTTCTCAATTAATTCTCTCTCCTTTGATCTTCTGCTGCTGCCAGGCATGGAGGAAGAGGAGGAGGAGGAGGAGGAGGAAGAGGAGGAGGAGGAAGGGGGTGCAGGGCATGTGGAACTCCTGCAGGAAGTTGTACCCAAGGAGAAGGTGGTACCCATCCCTGAGGGCAGCGCCTTCTTCTGCCTCAGCCAAACCAACCCGTGAGTGCTGCGAGTGTACAGGGAGTTGGGGCAGGAGGGGCTGGGGCAGGGGGAGGACCAGGGAGCAGCCAAGGCTCAGGGGGCCTGCACGGCCTTATGCAACAGGGCCCATGCTGTATCTCTCGGGCTCCCCCAGTCAACTCTGTGGTCCTGTGTTCTGACCATGGACCATTCCCCACTCCCCAGGCTGAGGAAGGCCTGCCACACCCTCATCCACCATCACGTCTTCACCAATCTTATCCTGGTGTTCATCATCCTCAGCAGTGTGTCCCTGGCAGCTGAGGACCCCATCCGAGCCCAGTCTTTCCGCAACCATGTGAGCCTTGGGCTGGGGACTCAGGGGACACTCCCAAGGGTGTCCTACTGGGCACAAGCTGGGGCCAGGGTGGAGGCAGGGAGAAGACCCCTAGTTGGGCAGAGAGAGAGGAGCAATAATGGCAGCTGCAGCAGTGTCAGCCTTTATTATGAGTGCAACACACTTGGGGAAGCACCGGGGAGGTGATCAGTGTTTGGCAGAGGAGGAAGCTGTGCTCAGAGGTTGAGCAGACCAAGGGCGCCCATGTAGCTGAGTAGAGGCAGAGGAACCCAAATCTGAACCCTTGTCTTTCTGGTGGCCAAGGCTTTTGCCTTGTAGAAAAGTCCTTGATGATTATGATGATGGGAGAGAGAGAGAGAGAGAGGGAGGGGAGGAGAGAGGGAGGGAGGGACAGCAAAACTTACTGAGAGATACACACAGCTAGGATCCCCCTCATCCATGACTCGGTGGCTCCCCCTCTTTCTTGCCCCCCAGATTCTGGGGTACTTCGATTATGCCTTCACCTCCATTTTCACTGTGGAGATTCTACTAAAGGTGACTAATGGACCCCCATCATACCCCCAGTTACCCCAACCTACTCCCCACCCACCCCTGCAGTCCACCTCTCCTGTTTCCATCCCCAACTCCCCTCTCTTCCCCGGATCTGGGGTCTAACTAGCCTGAGGTCCCCCTACTCCCCAGATGACAGTGTTCGGGGCTTTCCTGCACCGTGGCTCCTTCTGCCGTAGCTGGTTCAATCTGTTGGATCTGCTGGTGGTCAGCGTGTCCCTCATCTCCTTTGGCATCCAGTGAGTGACACCTGCCTACCCCATTCCTCCAAGAGCCAAGGCCAGGCCTGGGCCACGGCCTGAGGACTTCCCCCTCCTCAGCTCCAGTGCCATCTCGGTGGTGAAGATTCTTCGAGTTCTCCGAGTACTACGGCCCCTCCGAGCCATCAACAGGGCCAAAGGACTCAAGGTAATCCCATCCCACCCAAATCCATGGGACCCAGACCCTGCCCCGCCCCTGGGGCCAGGATCACTGATCCGATTGACCATTTGCAGTGACGCATGACCACATAGCCTGGCCACAATGTGTGACCACATGGCCCTGACCACTGGCCATGTGGCCTCATCCATGTTCCTTACAAGTGACCATCTATTCCTTACCAAAGGCCACGTTTCTGTGATCCAAGTTCCTGACATGTGGCCACATACCCCTGTCTGGCAAACACATTTCCTGTTGGTACCCACACATCCTTCACCCAAGACCACATGTTCCTGACCCAAGTCCCTGAGCTCCATCCATGCCCAGAGTCCTTGCCCTGTGGCCACCGTGGCCTGCGGTGTCCATGAGCCATATTTGTGGGTGTCTGCAGCACGTGGTGCAGTGTGTGTTCGTGGCCATCCGGACCATCGGGAATATCATGATTGTGACCACGCTCCTGCAATTCATGTTCGCCTGCATTGGCGTGCAGCTCTTCAAGGTGGGAGGAAACACTGGAGGGAGGCCCAGGCATGAATCAAGGCACGGGGCCGGGGGATGAAGGGTGAATCTGCTTGACAAATATCCTCTCTGCAGGGGAAATTCTACAGTTGCACTGATGAGGCCAAACACACACCCCAAGAATGCAAGTGAGTGCCTGAAACCCTGCCCTCCATGGAACCCAGGACCCTCCCAAAGTCCAAAGAGGCCCCTAGATCTCACCCAGGGCTCTAAAACCCCTAGATCTTCCTCCAAAGAACTGCAGAGACCCCCCCCCCAGATTTTATCAAGGCCCCCAAGACCCCAGAATTCCTCAAGGCCCCAAGATACATCCCGAAAATTCTCCCAAGAACGGCAAAAGCCCTCAGACATCACCAGTCCTTAAGAGGCCCCCCCCAGTAACCGCCCAAAACCCCTCTCCACATTCCCCAGAGTTACCTACATTCCACTCCAGAATCCCATCCATCCCCAAACACCCGACCCCCACCACCAAGTCCCCAGCTTCCGTCTTGAGACTCCTACAGAGGGTAATAGTTCGCTGAACCATTCTTGGTTCAAATTCGTCTAATGAGACATGGTTACATTTCTTAACCTTGATGAGTCCCATTTTCCTCAACTGAAAAATGGGGATAAAAAGAGTGTGGATTTCACAAGGTTGTTGTGAGGAGCAAATGAGTTACTACACAGAGAGTGTATTACAATGTAAAGTTAGTACATGTAAAGCCTAGCACAGTGCCTGGCATATACTTAGTGCTGATAAATGTTGGCTGTTATTTGTATTGCTTTTTCCTGGATGGCAATGATGGTGATAATAATGTTGATGATAGCTAACGTATACGGCCCCAACAATGTGCCAGACACTGTTCTCATTGATTAACAAAATTAATCCTTGTAACAAGCCAGGAAATACGTTCTGTCATTATCCTTATGTCATAAATGGGGAAAACTGAAGCACAGAGGTTAAATGCCCAAGGTCACCCAGCCAGTAAATGGAAGGGCAGGATTGGAACCCAGGCTATCCAGCTCCACCAATATGCCCTGCTGCCTCCGTACTGGAGACACCAGTCCCCATTCCACAGCTCCCTACCCCTCCTCACCCACCCAGCATGTCTGCAACATCCACAGGGGCTCCTTCCTGGTCTACCCCGATGGAGATGTGTCAAGGCCCCTGGTCCGGGAGCGGCTCTGGGTCAACAGTGATTTCAACTTTGACAATGTCCTTTCAGCCATGATGGCCCTGTTCACTGTCTCCACCTTCGAAGGCTGGCCTGCGTGAGGGGCAGGGCCCCAGGGATGGGCAAGGGACTGGGCAAGAGTCTTTAGGGGATTGGCTTTGGATATCCTGGGGATGGGTGGAAGGGTAACTTGGGATGTGAAGAAGGTCTCTGGAGAGTGGATAGGGTTTTCTGGGGACTGGTGGGTGTATCAGATGACTAGGTGGGGATCTCCCAGAAGTTGGCCGGGGGTGCTTAGGGGACCTGGGTGAGGGGGCCTCCAAGAATTGGGTAGAGAGGTCTCTGAGGCACTAGGTGGAAGTCTAGAGAGGACTGCGTGGGATTTAGGGGGGGGGGTACCAGGTAGAGGTCTGGGGGGACTGGGTGGAGGTCTTGGAGGAGATGGAGCTGGAGATTCAGGGGTTTCCAGATAGCTGCACAAGTCTTTGGGAGTACTAGGTGGGGGAGCGATGGAGCAAGGAATTCAAGTTGATAGGACAGGGGACTTAGAGATCTTTGGGGGCTTGTTGGGGAGTTCTGCGGAGCTGCATGGGGATCCTCAGATGGCTGGAGGAGAACTGGGAGTCTGTGGGAACTTAAGGGATCTGGGGGTCCTGGAGGGCCTGGATGGGGATTCTCAGGAAGGTTGGATGGGGATCTCTAGATCTCTGGAGGGCTGGGCTTTGGGAGTCTTTGAGGGCCGGGTGTGTAGGTCTCAGATAGTTAGGTCAGGGAATTTGGGGATCTTTGGGGATATTCTGGGGTGCCTAAGGTGTCTGGGGACAGGTCTGAGGTGTCTGGGATATCCCTCTACTTGCCCCCACTGGCTCCCCAGGCTGCTATATAAGGCCATCGATGCAAACGCAGAGAACAAGGGCCCCATCTATAATTACCACGTGGAGATCTCAGTGTTCTTCATTGTCTACATCATCATCATTGCATTCTTCATGATGAACATCTTTGTGGGCTTCGTCATCATCACCTTCCGTGCCCAGGGCGAGCAGGAGTACCAAGACTGTGAGCTGGACAAGAACCAGGTGACCTCCGACCCCTGATCCACCAACCCCCCACCCCCACCCCAGCTCCTTGCCTCGGGACCCCACTGCTCACTCATGCCTTGCACCTATATGCAGCGCCAGTGTGTGGAGTATGCCCTCAAGGCCCAGCCACTCCGCCGCTATATCCCCAAGAACCCGAATCAGTATCGGGTGTGGGCCACTGTGAACTCTGCTGCCTTCGAGTATCTCATGTTCCTGCTCATCCTGCTCAACACGGTTGCTCTAGCCATGCAGGTCTGAGCTCCCCACCCTGATCCCGCCAGACACCTGACCCTATTCTGTCTGCACAAATCCTTGAGAACTGTCAGGAATGCTTTAGGCTGCAAGTAACAAAACCCCCAACTGACAGAGACTTAAGCTTTAAAGATATGTGCCACATATATTCAAATCAAAGGCCGATAATCATAAGTTGTATCCTGATTTCAGAGATGTGAGAATGTGGAAAAAATGGCAGATGGCAAATGTAAGTTGTCATTTACTGTGAAATGCACCCCAATTTCAGAGATTCTAAACTGTGAAAAGATGTGTATCCTTGGAGTCAATGAATTATGATAGTTACCTCACATAGCAAGCAGTACAGAGGTAGGCTGTTTGCTCATTGCTCATCAGGGACCCAGGCTCTCTTTCTGTTCCACTATTCTGAGTAAGTTGGCTTTCATGCTCATGATTGTTGCTTCATGGTCACAAGATGGCTGCCACAGTTCCAGACATCAAAACCACATTCAGAGAAGGAAAAAGGAAGGAAGCTTGCACCGAGGGGCTCTCCTCACTTGACCCTTTTATTGGAAATCAAAAATATTTTTCACAGAAGCTGCCCAAGCAGCAGCAAGCTTATGTTTCTGTCTCATTAGTCAGAACCAGCTGCAAGAAAAGCTAGGAAATCAAGGGCTGGGCTTTCCAATATCCATAATGGGAGGTGGACAGTGTGAGAGGTTTGGCCAACCCATAGTGCTACCACGTCCCCAGACTTACCTCAGTCCAAGACAGAGAATATTTGGTTGGGGTGTCGGGGGGAATCTCTGCCTCAGGCTATGTCCCCACATCTGATTTTCTCCCCCAGCACTATGAGCAGACTGCTCCCTTCAACTATGTCATGGACATCCTCAACATGGTTTTCACTGGTCTCTTCACTGTTGAGATGGTGCTCAAAATCATCGCCTTCAAACCCAAGGTACCCCCCAAGGCCTAGACCCATTCCTTAGGGTGGAACTCACTGCATAGCTCTCAGGGGAGCAGCAACCAGGGAGTCATGAGACTAGGGAGGAAGAGGGATCTAGATGCAGCCTTATCATGTGATCCAGCCTAGACCCTGCCTCCCCAATGCCCCCAACCACTACTAGCCCCATACCCTAGCTTGCTAGCTCTGAGAAGACAGGGCACTGCTTTCCTCCTGTCTACAGCATTACTTTACCGATGCCTGGAACACGTTTGATGCTCTTATTGTGGTGGGCAGCGTAGTGGACATTGCCGTCACTGAAGTCAACGTGAGGACTGGCTCTCTACTAACCCACTCACCCCCCACCAACCTTCCCTCACCTCAACCCCAGGGCTTTCTTTCACATGGGGAGGTGGTTCCCACTCACATCCACCCCACTCCTGGAGACTCAGAGCTCCTCCCTCTAGCTCTATCTCTTGAGTCCCTATTGGGTTCAGCCAAAGCCCCCTTCTACCAGCTCCAGCTTGTTCATTTGCAAGCTATCCTCTGGCTCCAGCATCTCCTAAAATGACTCTCCTGTTATTTCTATTATTTTCTTCATTGCCTCTACATCCGCCTCCATTGGTCCCATCATCTCCACCAACTCCTGCTTTGACTCCATCATCTCCTCTGATTCCTTCATTGGCTCCATTTCCTCCACCGACACCATCGTCTCTGACACTGGGTCTTTCACGGTTCTGTCATCACCACTGACTGCCCGGTTGGCTCCATCATCTCTTTCACTGGGTACTACATCGTCCTCCGTTGACAATGCTGCTGGGTCCATATCTCCATCACTGGCTTCTCCATTGGATCCTCCATCGGTTCTCTCATCTGCGTGAAACCACCGGCTTCATCATTTCCTCCATTGGCTCCAAAATCTCTCCTCCACCATCTCCTGTGCCCTCTCCTCTACCTTTCACCCTCATTACCAACTTTTCCTTCAACCATCCTGGTCCATTACCATGTAACCTTCCTTATCATCCCTTGGATAATAACTCTACCATCCATTATCCCCCGTATCTGCTCCATCGTTTCTCTCCTTGTTCATTGGCCCTGTGATCTCATCATCTCCTCCATCACCTCTGTTTTGGCAATATCTCCGTGCAGAATGGTGGCCATCTTGGCGAGGTAGCCCCCCCCCCACCACCTCACAACAGGGACTCTCTGCCTCTCTCTTCACCAACCCTCCTTTCCTTTCTTCCCAAAAGTCCTTAGAAATGCTCCCTGACCACCCCAGGGCCTGGGTTCTGAGGGATTTGGAGGCTGGGAGGGCCAAAGCATGAGACAGGGAGGTGGCTGGGGCAAATGTGGACTGAGCATACCCACCACACGCCCAACCCCAGAGCTCTGAGGACAGTTCCCACATTTCGATCACTTTCTTTCGCCTCTTCCGAGTCATGCGGCTGGTCAAGCTTCTCAGTAAGGGTGAAGGGATTCGCACATTACTCTGGACATTCATCAAGTCCTTCCAGGTAACTCCCCCACTCCTTTGTTCACCCCTCATCCCCACTTCACACCCTCAGCTTGTCCTTTACCGCCCCCAGAACTACACCTTCCAGCATGCCATACCCATGTGCAGCTTACCATTTCCAGTTTTCTCTCTTTTGCGGGCTCTCAATTCCCAACATGTCTTGGCCTCACTGACCTTACTCTATTGTATTTAATACTGTGTCCATATTTGGGAGACCCTGGCAGTCATGGGCACTTTGGGGATGGACCACATCTCTCAGCAGGGCCCGGCTTGAGTGCATTCTGGGGCTTAACAGTTCTCTGCCTGGACCTGAGTACCTATCCTCCTCTCCACTCCCATAGGCCTTGCCCTATGTGGCTCTTCTCATCGCAATGATATTCTTCATTTACGCAGTCATTGGGATGCAGGCAAGTGAAAACCCTGGGGAGCATCCCTCAGGCACTCCTCTGTTGAGGGGGGTTAGATAGGAATGAGCCCAAAGTCGGGGTAGAAAGACAGACAAGCTGCACCACACTGAGTCAGTCCATACATCTGTGAAATGGGGTCAGCAGTGCCTGCTTGTCAGGGTTATAAGGATCCTTTGGGTATTAGGTGTTGTGAAATGGATGGGGACCTGTAGGGGCACGGAGTCACCCCTCTGACACAGCCCCTGTATGCCCACAGATTTTCGGCAAGGTGGCTCTTCAGGATGGCACACAGATCAACCGAAACAACAACTTCCAGACCTTTCCACAGGCTGTGCTGCTTTTGTTCAGGTGACACACACACACCCTCTCCCCTGCTGCTTTGATCTCCAGCATGCTTTTGGGTACCCACACATCCTCTCTGGGCCCCAGACTGCCTGAGCTATGGAAGTAACAGGGCAGCATGGGGCTCCATATTGCCTGAGACCTTTTCTGGCTGTGTTCTAAAGAATCTTTTAGAATATTCTAGCCTCAGCCATGCTTTTTCTGGCTGCAAGACGTGTACCTTTCATAAGCCTCAGCACCCCCTCTGTAAAATGCAAACATGATTGTCATCAACATGGCCACACCAGCTTTTAAAATATTGAAATGCTGTTTTTATCAGATGTAGCCCCTGGTAAGAAATAGGTCATCTCCTCACCCCTCTGGCCCCCACAGTGGCCCTTGTCATGACTTCATAGCCTCCCCCCAAGATGGCACCACTGTGTGACCCCCAGGTGTGCTACTGGTGAGGCATGGCAGGAGATAATGCTTGCCAGCCTTCCTGGGAGCCGGTGTGACCCTGAGTCTGACTTCGGCCCTGGTGAGGAGTTTAGCTGTGGTAGCAATTTTGCCATAGCCTATTTTATCAGCTTCTTCATGCTCTGTGCATTCCTGGTAAGGACCAAGCCCCACATCCACCACTACTGCCCCCGGGGGCTGGTCCTGATGGGGATGAGGTGGGAAGCCCAGATCTTCTGAGCGGGTGAAAGGGCTGGCCCTGACGACAAGATTAACCCGGGGACTCATGACCCAGTGACCATAGAAGCTTACCTCCGCCTCCCACCAAACCCCCCATACTCTTCTCTGCCCTTCACCTAACCTCTCCTACTCACTGGCCCACAGATCATAAATCTCTTTGTGGCTGTGATCATGGACAACTTTGATTATCTGACCAGAGATTGGTCCATCCTGGGCCCCCATCACCTCGATGAATTCAAGAGGATCTGGTCTGAATATGACCCTGGGGCCAAGTATGCCCTCTGACCCCATACCTGGGATACCAGAGGACAGTGCACTGCCTCACAGTCCTCCAGCTCTGGAACCTCTGACCTATGCCTCCCATTACCCAGGCAGTAGATGCCCCAAGGTTCCCACTGCCCCTGTCCTCTGCCTTTTCCCCTCCCCCACTGACTGCCCTCCAGTTCTTCCCTGGCAGACTATGGGGTGTTGGTGGGGCGAGGGAGTGATGAGCTGGTAGGGTCTTGAGTAAGGACCAGAGGGGGTATCTCCAACCCAGTAGTGCCTCTCTTCTACCGCCACCTTCCCCAGAGGCCGCATCAAGCACCTGGATGTGGTTGCCCTGCTGAGACGCATCCAGCCACCCCTGGGATTCGGGAAGCTGTGCCCACACCGAGTGGCCTGCAAGGTCTGTGCACCTGCCCACCACTGCCTCTGAGAGGACTGTCACCACACAGCAGGAGTGGGCAGGGACCCTGCCTTGGGTGGGGAGGGGGTGTTTGGTGGCATCCTCAAAGGTTTCTGCCCGTGGGCATCACATGCCTGCATCCCTGGCATTTGCCCAAAATGGGTTCCATGTCCCTGGTGTGCACAGAGACTTGTGGCGATGAACATGCCTCTCAACTCAGATGGGACAGTGACATTCAATGCCACACTCTTTGCCCTCGTTCGGACATCCCTGAAGATCAAGACAGAAGGTGTGTGGGGAGGAGGGGAAGGGGCAGGAGTGGGAGGGTCCCTGGGGAAGGTGCAAGGAGCAAACTAATTGAGGGATGGGCCCCACTCTTAGCTCTGAACCTCAAAATAGGTGACTTTGCCTTCTCCAGGCCTGTTTTCCCACCTATCCAACGGGGGCGGTGTTTGGCTGCGGTAGAAGTTTGTGACGCGCCCTCCAACAGTTGAAGGAGTGGCTGTGAAAGGCTCTTCCTATTGGCTCACGCCCCACATCGTCTCCCCATGCAGGGAACCTGGAGCAAGCCAATCAGGAGCTGCGGATTGTCATCAAAAAGATCTGGAAGCGGGTGAAGCAGAAGCTGCTAGATGAGGTCATCCCCCCAGCTGACGGTGAGCTAGCTCCACCCCAATTCCTTAAGCCTGCCTCTGAATGTCAACGATTGCTCACCACCACCAAACCATCACTGGCTGGAGAGGGAGGGGTGCAGGGGGAGAGTCCAAGCTTTGATGTGGGGGTGTGGGGAGCAGAGGACTCCTGTGTGACCTTGCCTCCCCTCCCTTGCTTCCAGAGGAAGAAGTTACCGTGGGCAAATTCTACGCCACATTTCTGATCCAGGACTATTTCCGCAAATTCCGGCGGAGGAAAGAAAAGGGGCTACTAGGGGCCGAGGCCCCCCCAAGCACCTCCTCTGCCCTTCAGGTCTTGGGAGCAGGGCCTGAGCTGGGTGGGGGTATGTGGGAGCTCTGTGGCTGAGGCTGACAGCCTTCTTGATCTCATGGAACCCATGTCACAGATGAGAAAACTGATACCCCAGGACCCACAGAAGGTCAGGGGTGACTGTGGGGCTCCTTCCCCCACCCCACACTCCTGCTCAGGGACAGGGAAGTTTAGACCCTGAGCTACCCGCTTCCCTATTTTCCCATCCCCACAGGCTGGTCTGAGGAGCCTGCAAGACTTGGGTCCTGAGATGCGGCAGGCCCTCACCTGTGACACAGATGAGGAGGAGGAGGAAGAGGGACAGGAGGGAGAGGAGGAGGAAGATGAGAAGGACCCGGAAACGTACAAAGTAAGGACAATAAGCTTTCACTCCCCCAGGAACTCTTGATTGTAAAATACTCCCTCAACCCCCTGAGTGATTTCCACACTGCGTCTGGGAGGAAGTCCCCCAGAGAAGACCCCCTGCAATAGACAAATGTTTATTTGGTACCTACCACCCACTGTTGGAGGGCAAGACCCAGATTTGGCCCCTGGGGAGCTCATTGGAGACACACTATTTGACCAAGTGACTTAGTTATAACCTGGATGCAACGCTCAGTCCTGTGATTTCCACAGGCCCCAATGGGCTCCCAGCCCCCATCTCGCCGGAGCTCTGTGGTTTCTGTGTCTCTGCCTGCCTGGGACAAACCACCAGATTCACTTTCCCTTGGGCCCAGTGACGACGATGGGGGTGCTCCCAACTCCAGACAGTCCAGTGTGCCCCAAGCTGGGTCCCACGCCCACAGGTATGGCCAAAGGTCTGCAGGAGGATTGTGAGGGAAGGCAGGGACTAGCCACTTTATGGGGGTACTTCAGGGGGCAGAGGGTGTTTCCAGTGAGACAAACGTCTATTAAAAGAAAGCCCAGGGCTTCCCTGGTGGCGCAGTGGTTGAGAGTCCGCCTGCCGATGCAGGGGACACGGGTTCGTGACCCAGTCCGGGAAGATCCCACGTGCCACGGAGCGGCTGGGCCCGTGAGCCATGGCCGCTGAGCCTGCGCGTCCGGAGAGAGGCCACAACAGTGAGAGGCCCGCATATCGCAAAAAGAAAAAAAAAAAGAAAGCCCATGTCTCCTTTAAAATGATGGCAGGTTAATTTTATGTTATGTGAATTTTCCCAGTTAAAAACGTCTAGTGTTTCTGTAGAGGGTAGGACATGAAATGAGAGGGGACCAGGGGCCCAGGGCCACACTGGGAGGATCTGGTCTGCCTAACTTGCCTCACTTTCCCCAGGAGAAGCTCTGGGGTTCTCATTTTCACCATTCCGGAAGAAGGAAGTTCTCAGTCCAAGGCAACCAAAGGGCAAGAGAAGCAGGATGAACAAGAGGAAGTCCCCAGCCAGCACCCTGGCCACGACACGTAGGATGAGCCCATGAGCCACGTGCGAGAGGGATGGCACCCCATCGCGCATGCCCAGGCCTGAGCTCACCCCAGCCCTCCCTCCCAAACAGGCTCTCCTACCTAGATGAGCAGGCAGGGACTCCCCCACTCCCCATCCTCTTGCCACCTCACAGAGCCCAGAGATATGTGGATGGCCACCAAGCACCACGCCGCCGTCTGCTGCCCCCAACGCCTGCAGGTGAGAGTGGACATGGGTCCTGGGGGGCCCCATGGGCCATAAGAGCAGAGGGCTGGGGAGGCACTGACATTCCTCTTTTCCCCTGGTGCCCCCCACACCCCCAGGCCGGAAGCCTTCCTTCACCATCCAGTGTCTGTGGCGCCAGGGCAGTTGTGAAGATTTACCCATCCCAGGCACCTATCATCGTGGGCGCAACTCAGGGCCCAGCAGGGCACAGGTGAGGTGGGGGAGGGGGGCTGAGGCCTGGAGGGGTGGGGGGCAACCTAGGCTGAATTTATCAAATACACTACATATCGGGCCCTTCTGAAGAAGGGGGCACGTGTGAATTCACACAGTCCTCACTGTGCCTGTGAGGTGGGTACTGTTACTAGCCCCAGTGTACAGATGAGGAAACTGAGGCCCAGAGAGGCTTACTCAAGATCTCACAGCTAGTAAGTGGCAAAGCTAAGATTTAAACCCAGGCCTTCTATGCTCTGAAATAAACCCAAGGCTGATGTATACCCATTCAATTTGACTCCAGTTGTGCTTGGGGAGTAAGAGGTAGGCACAGGAGTGATTCCTAGATCCTCATGCCCTACCCATCAATCACTATGCTCCTGATGTTTATTCTGGTCCAGGGTTCCTGGGCAACCCCTCCTCAGCGGGGCCGGCTCCTATACGCCCCACTGCTGTTGGTGGAGGAGGGTGCAGCAGGGGACGGATACCTCGGCAAATCCAGCAATCCACTGCGCACCTTCACCTGTCTGCACATGCCTGGAACCCACTCAGACCCCAGCTATGGCAAAAGGGGCAGTGCTGACAGCCTGGTGGAGGCTGTGAGTCCAGAAGGGGAGGGGGCCGGAGGGATGGGAGAGAAGGGGAGAAGGTGGGAGCTTGGGAAGGAGGGTCCCCAGTCTCTATGTTGTGTATGTAGCTATCCCTTTGCTCTGTGATTTCTGCTCAGCAAGATGTGTGCCCCACTGTCCCCCACTGACTTCCCTGCGTGCCCTCATGGGTTCATCACTCATCCACACCAACCCCTCTGTGCACACTGCTTTGACTCTATGCTGTGCCCTCTGTCAACACTGATCCCATCTGTGCCCCCAGGTGCTCATCTCCGAGGGCCTGGGCCTGTTTGCCCGAGACCCGCGCTTCGTGGCCCTGGCCAAGCGGGAGATTGCAGATGCATGTCGTCTGACACTGGACGAGATGGACAGTGCCGCCAGTGACCTGCTGGCACAGGGGACCAGCTCACTTTATAGTGACGAGGAGTCCATCCTCTCCCGCTTTGATGAGGAGGACCTGGGAGACGAGATGGCCTGCGTCCATGCCCTCTGAATTCCCATCCCTCCCCCACTGCTCAATAAACCTCCTGCCCTCCCTTCCTCAGAAGGAGACCGGCATGGACCACACCCCTGGATTTTGGTGTCTTTGCGCTGGAGGCCTGGAGCTGCCCAGCGGTCCTCATCTATCCATCCCCTGTTTCAGCCCTGAGCCACTGCCCACACGCGGGTATTTCCAGAAACCAGGACAGCCGGGCCTGATTATTCAGCGTCAGGGAAGGAAGGAGGAGGAGGGGAGGCGGAAGAGGCAGCAGCCAAAAAAAGCTGGAGACAGAGTGGAGGTGGTGGGGGAAGGGAGGTTTCTGGACAGATGGAGGAAAGTGGAGAGAGTGAGGATGTGTGAGGGTTCGGATGAGGGGTGGGGGAAAGTCAGAGATTCCACAAGGGGTCAGGCAGATCAGACTGAGGCAGGACAGATGGATGGAAAGGAAAGGATAAGGAAACCTCCAGGCGAGTCCTGCCAGTAGAAAGGCCTGGAGGTTAGAACTAGCCTGGCATGTGATGTATCTTAGGCAGAGGGGTCCTCTGACAGCATCAGGAAGGGAGGCTAAATTGGGATCACCCCCACCTCCCCCCTTCTGCTTGTGAAAAAAGAAATCTAGGACTTCCCTGGTGGTCCAGTGGTTAAGACTCTATGCATCCACTGCAGGGGGCACCGTTCCATCCCTGGTCGGGGGAACTAAGATCCCACATGCCTCCGGGTGTGGCCAGAAAAAATAAATAAATAAAGAGAAAAAGGAAATTTAAATTCATTCGTAAAAGACATGGGTGACAGCAAAGGGCAAGGCTCCTAGCCTGGGGCAACCCACTCAGGGCTTACCTGGCTCTCCTGAGACTAGCTAATAGTACCCCACTCCCAGATCCCAGAGCTCCTCTCTGTTTCTTGCCCTGCTTTTAGTCATTGCCCAACCTTTGGCGTCTCATTCATTCAGTGAAGGTTTATCGGGCATTTATTTTGTGCCAGGCACTGTTCTGGGTTTCCCTCAGCACAAACTGAACTGGCTTAGACATGTGACGGCGGTTGTCCAAAGTGGTAGTCATCCTCACTCTAAAGGAATCGGAGGTGGTGTTAGAAGTGACACCGGATGCAGCCACCCATGGGGAAGGTCTGACCTAGGGTCTCCTCCCAGCTCTCAGAGCAGGGGCTTCTCATTTGTCTAATTTGTGTCAATGGAACCAGGACTGAAATTTGAGGGAAGCCAAAATTGGAGGCTAGAACTCAGAATACAGAATTGCACTAGGTCTGGAAACAAAGGCTTGGAGTGGTTGGGCCGGTGTATTGTGGGAAAGTAAGTCATGGGCAGGGTAAAGAGAGTGAAGGGCGACTGCTGAGGGAGGAGGTGGGATAAGCCACCTAAGGGCAGATGATGCAGACCCTTGAATGCCAGGCCCCAACCCCTGGGATTTTTCCTGAAAGCAGTGGGGAGCCATGGGAGGGATTTGAGCAGGGGAGTGACATAGTTAACTTTGCATTTTAAATAGATGCTCTGACGGGTGTGCTGAAAACAGATGGGAGGAGGAAGAGACTGGAGATGCTAAATTTGGCAGGAATGATGGTCGCCTTAGCCAGGGGAGGTGGCAGAGGAGATGGTGAGAAGTGAGTAGATTCCAGAGATGTGTGGAAGGTAAAACGAACCATTTATTGGGCCCTGTGCTAAGTGCATTACAGTGATTATCTTGTTTAATCAGTGCAACAATCCTCTAGGTACCATTTTAAATTATTTTACCTGTCCAAAGTCATACAGGAACAAATATCAGAGGTGAGATTCAAATTCAAGCAATTGAATGCCAAAACCCATGCTCTTCCCCTGAAAAGGCAATAACTGTGAAGTACCCATTACATATTCCATATTTGTGTGAATTTGAGTGTGAGTGTGTTTGTTTAAAAAACAAAATAACTTAGGAATACATTCAGATGGTTCAAAGTTCAAAAGTACAAAGGGGTATAAAGTGAAAATTTCCCTTCTCTCTGGAGGCAACCTGTGTTATCAGATATCTTTTATATAGTTATAGGATGCCATACTGATAAGTTAGCACAGTGGCTAAGAGTAACAGGCGCTGGAGCCAAACTTCCTGGGTTCAAATCCTAGTTCCACCACTTACCACCTGTTCAAATCTTAGTTCTACCACCTACCAACTGTGTGACCTTAGGAAAATTCCTTCAGCTCTCTGCACCTTAGTTTAGTCAGCTATGAAATGAGGATAGTAGTAGTACCTGACTCAGGGCTGTTGTGAGGATTGATTGATTGAGTGAGTGATGGCTGCACTGGGTCTCCGTTGCTGCACGTGGGCTTTCTCTAGTTGCGGAGAGCGGGGGCTGCTCTTCATTGTAGTGCACAGGCTTTTCATTGTGATGGCTTCTCTTGTTGAGGAGCACAGGCTCTAGGCGCACGGGCTTCAGTAGTTGTGGCACATGGGCTCAGTAGTTGTGGCTCATGGGCTTACTTGCTTCCCAGACCAGGGATCGAACCCGTGTCCCCTGCTTTGGCAGGTGGATTCTTAACCACTCTGCCACCAGGGAAGTTCCTGTTGTGAGGATTTAAATGAGTGATATATGGGAAGCTCACAGAACAGCCACAATTTAAAATGTTAGCTGTTCTCTCTATAATTGATATAATGCTTCCCTTCTCTCTGTACACAATTCCCACATAATTTGGCATCTTGCATTTCTTACTTAACTAAGTATCTTGGCTATCATTACATAGCTCCATATTATTAGTAATGACAGCTACATAGTACTACATTTTGCAGCTCTACCTGAGTTTTTTTAAACAGGCCACCAGTAATGAGCATTTGGGGAGTGTCCACACTTTATAAACAGTGCTACAGTGTATTATCTTATACATATTTCTTTTAGCACATGTTTGAATCTCTCTGTAAGACAAATTCCTAGAAGTGTAAACACTGAGCCACATATATGGACTTATTAGTTTGCTACATTTTTCCAAATTACCCTTTACAGAAGTTATACCAATTTAACTTCCACTGGCAATTTATGAGAATGCTTGTTTCTGGCCAACTGCTAATACTGAGCATTATCAAACTTTTTTATATTCACCACCCTCAAAGATGAAAAACAGTGTCTTAGTAGCTTTTATAGGCATTTCTTTTAGTATGAGTGAGGTTGAGCATCTTAAATTCCAGCTGTATTTATCCATTGGATTTTGCCACATGGCAATTGCCATTGACCTTGGTGGGCCTAGTTTTAGTAGCATGAAGAAGGCATAGTCCAATTAAGAGAGGACTAAGGAATAAACAGGTTGTAAAAAGTTGAGAGTTGGAGTAGGCAACACTTTGACTAAGGAAGAGCGAAATAGGGGAAATGGAGGGGGAGGGTTTTTTTTTTAAGTGCTTAAAATGCAGATGAGAAGAAACCCTCAAGACCCTTAACCATGTTTAAATTGCAGGGACTTTGGGCACTGCCAATAACTAGCTGGGCGACCTTGTATAAGTTGCTTAACCTCTATGGGGACTAATTTTCCTCACCAGTAAAAATGGGGCGAATAGGCCCTACCACGTAGGGATGTTCTAAGGCTTAAATAAGTGAACACATTCAACAGTTCAGCAAACGGCCTGGCAAATTGTCCTACTGTAGGACCCAACGGCCCACCTCCCCAGATCTCTAGCTGTGTTTTCAGAGATAACGATCTTCTGAGAGCATTTTCACGGTTCCAGCCTCTGCAGCCTCCGGACTGGAATGGCTGCCTGCGAGGTTTAGACACGGCCGCTGTGCGCAGGCGCGCGTGGCGAGCGAGGCGGGGGCGCGAGGGGCGGAGCTGCGGCCTCCTGGGCTGTTCCGCCGATCGCGCACCGCCCCCGCCGCGCCCCGCGCCCGCCCTTGCTAGCAGGCGCCTCCCGCCCCCCGCATTGCTGATGCTGCTGCTGGCCGACATGGACGTGGTGAATCAGGTACGCGTTCCAGCACCGCGGACAGAGCCCGCCGCTGGCCGGCCTCCTCGCCGGGTCGCTGCGAATCCGCCGACTCTAAGAGGTGGTGGCCAGAATCCTAGCAGCGGACACCCGGTCCCCGGCGCTGGGGCTGGGGTCTGCGGCAGGCGAGGGGAGGAAAGGGGAGGTGGAGAAAAGAAGGAGTGCGCCCTTTGCCGCAGCGAGGGCCGTCCTCACTGCCGCAGCGGGGGCCGCCAGAAGCCAGTTCCTTACGGGCGACCAAGGAGGAAGAGGGGTCTTGGAGCCAGGGTATAGGCAAGGAGGGAGGGGAGGGGAGAGTGGAAGGAAGATGGGGGGTGCTGCAGATGAGCTAGGAAATAGAGCGACAGAAGGCGTGGGGGCAGGGGTGAAGGCGTGGGGGCAGGGGTGAAGGGGAGGGCTGACACCTGCCCCTTCCAAACAGAGATGGTACCCTGGTAGACGACCACCTCTTCCCCCAGAGCAGACCAAGGGGGACGATCAGTTTCGCTTCTCCCAAACCCCTAGTCCCCCTTCCCCCAGCACATATGGAGTGAAGCCATGTCCTAGCCCTCCTCCACCTCAATAAAATCAGTCCAGACCCTCTCTGCCATCGAACTCTTCTTCACCACCTCAGAACCTCGCCCATCTCTAACCAGGACTAACCCCTCCCCATCCTCATCACCTCAGACACCCCACCACCATCATCTGACTCACCTTTACCGCTGCAGATCCCTCCCCCACCCTAGCAAACCCGACTGCCTCCCTGTTATGACTCACCTTCACCATCCAAGACCCCTTCCCCCACCCTAATGAACCCCAACTCCTTCCTCACCCTCTCCACCCGATCCCCTTCACCATCTGACTCACCTTTACCTTTTCAGACCTTCTCCCCTTCCCTAACTAGTCCTGACTCCATCCCCGTCTTACTCACCCCTGACCCCCTCTGCCATCTATCTCACCATCTCCCCAGATGTCCCCACCAGCCCTGAACCCCGGGGACCTTCTCTCAGAGACCCTGAGCTCACACCTTCCCCAAAGTGTCACTTTCTCCTTTTCACCGCCTCTCCAAACGTCACTCCCTCCCAGAGATCACATGCCTTATCCCCAGGGGTCATTGCCTGGTGGCCTTGTCCCCCACCTCCCTCTCCATCCCCAACAAC